ACGGGGTAGCGCCAATTGTTTGTCTAAACTATATCCTGTGCCTTTTGAAGGCTATGTCTGGTTTGAAGATTAACAAAAGCATGTGTCATTTGAAATACAAGAGTCTTTTCAAGTATATACAATTCTTTTATTTGTTTTTGTGATCTTGTACAGTTCACAGTCACTAATTTCTTTTTTTTGTAATTTCTCCACTCTCTTCTTCAACTTAGATTGGAAGATTTCTTTCAAATTTTAGAATCTTGTATTTTTTTGAGGGGCACATTTTCATGGAGAGAAATGAAAGAATTTACAAAAGCATACCAAAAAAGGAGAGCCCTAACAAAAAAATTACAGTCTTGACCCCTAACTACAAAAATGGACTCCAATTCAAAAGAACAAGATCAAAGTCACAAGTACAAAAAGAATCTGGTTACTGACGCCTATATGGGGAATTAAACCTAGTCACCTTCAAACTTACCTGGTCTCTCCACCTCTCCAAAATTCTATTATTCCTTTTAAGCTAAATTTCCCACAAAACTTCTAAGAAACTAGTCAACCACAAAATTTTACCCTTCCCCTGAAGAGAGAACTCAAAAGCACTTCTTCCAACTCAACCTTGCTATCTCCATTCCAAGCCCAACAAACACCAAACGATCTCAGCCAACCACTCCAAAGTTGGTGAGTGAACTGAGAGTTCCAAAACAAATGATCTAGGTCTTCCTCATATCTCATACAAAGAATTTACCATTGTGGGAACAAAACATTGGAAAAGTGCCTTTGAACACAGTCATTGGTACTAAGGCTTTAGGAAATTATGGACAACTTTTTTTGTGACGAGTAAAACGTTAGAATGTGTTTGAATAGAATTTGCTTGTGTGTATTACTTCAACCATAAAAGAGTTCATCCATTTTTCTTTTGTTTTAATGTGAATGGTTACCCAATGCATCATTAACACTAAGAGTCCTCAGTAAGCTTATAGATTGTATGCTGAAAATACTTTAAGGAATTTGATTATGTTGTATACACCTTCTCTTGGGTTTGAATGATGGACGTCTGCCGCTGATATCCAATTATTGTTTTGTTCAATAACAGATGGACAGTGTATTGCAACTGTCTCACACGATCGGACCATAAAGCTCTGGTCTGTCAATAGCAAAGATGAACAAACTATGGACGTTGATCGAGTTTCGTAGCACCGACATGGGGGAGACGTTTCGAAAGCTCTGCAGGCTCATGTGGAGGTAAAGGAGATAAAAGAGGTTGGATCAGATGATGTCCCTTCTTTCTAATCATGTAATATCATGTATCTGATTGAATGCTGAATAGCGAGTTAATTTAGGCCACAAAGAAAATCTTGTGCTGACAATTTTCATGTTAATTGAGGGTTTTAAAACTTTAGATCCAAAAGAGAAATGAAGATCCAATATTAAGACCAAAACTTAAACCATACAAAATGATACAAAACGTTGAAAGGTATGCTGTTGAATTTTGCTCCATAGGAGATTAGAAGTGTCAACATTTTATAAGGATGACTATTATAAATACTTCTTCCAACCCTTATTCTTTATGAATTTCGTACAATTAAACACCATAGTTCTTGACCGGGAGAGGTTGAATAGAAACAAACATTTCTCAATCGAAAACAGTTTTAAGACTTTTTAATCAATTAATTTTCATTGGTTACGAGAGTGATGTATTCATGGAAGTCAAACCATAAGATGTTTATAATTACAATTGAGTTAAAAGTGTGTTTTATCCCGGTAATTACATCTTATTCTTTAATAAGCATAATAAGCATTTGGAAACTACTAATCTATCGAGAATTATATCTTGTGCAATTACGTTTTCATCTCTCTATTGGTCAAGTCTCGAAATAGTAGATTTATTGAACTAGGTACAAAAGTTACATTTACTCATACAAGTGCAAGGACAAACACTCACAAACAAGAGTTTTATAACTCTAGAAATGACACAAGTGTTGGGTAGCTCGAAGTGGCAAGCAACTAACAAAGGTCAAGATGAGTATGAGAGAGACGTCCGAGAAGGAACAAGAGTTGCAACAGTACTAGGATGAAAGAAGGAAAAGAAAATCAACGAAGAAGAAACACAACTTTTATAGCTAGGTTTTTCGATTTTCATTTTTTTTAGCGTCACAATGTCTCAATGTTACATTAATTTTTATACCCAATTCTGAAAATGAAAAAATGGTATATTTTGAGCTCAATGATTTTTAGAGCATTAGAAGAGAGCTTTTGGAGCAGAGAAAGAGATTCACAAGCTCAAGAACATGGAGATTACAACAAAAATGAGAATCGACACACGACATTAATTTTATTCTTCTTTCCGATCAATATATATATATATATATATATATATATATATTTTGTAGTTTTATTATGAAATTATTTTTTAGTTTAGATTCGGTAATAATGAGCACAATTCTAGTCAACTTCGTATTTTGATATGTTGAATGCCTTGATTGATTATGTTCTATAACTATTTATGCTTTTACGTGCTTAATTCATAATCTCTCGGCCACAACTTATTTGATTGATCTCAACTCTAGCTTCATAAATGGGTGTTTGGACTAAAACCTAATCACGACTCCTTTCGAAGTTGCTTTGAAGAAGAGTTCTTTATGATACGCTCGAACCATTTCCTACTAATTTTAACTCTTCGAAAATGCTCAAGGTTAGTATGACTCGGACATTTTTCTACTGGTTTCAACTATTTGGTAGCTTTTAAGGTTAGTACGACTATTTTTTAGTTAGTTTAAATTATTTGGGTTCAAGCTTAAATTATTTTATGCAAAATTAGATAAGTCAATTTATGGTTGTCGGACTCCTTATGGAGAATTAAATTTCTGAGAGTAGCATTAAGCTAACATCAAGGGATCGTAATAGCTTCGACCTAGGCCAAACAATTAAGTGGCTCCACTATCGATTTGGTTGAAAGAATTGTTTTATGTATGATAACACATGCCTAGTGGCTTCTGCACGTGTCATATGTTTGATATGTTTTGATATGTGATGTTATGTTATATTACGGTATATGATATGAGTAATATTATGGTATAAACGAAATGCCATGTTAAGTGACGATAAGTTATATTATGTTATGACATGCCATGATATGCTATGATATATTCTAAAATAAGGAATTTTGTGATGCACAGCCTCTTTATGCCATGTCTTGGAAGTTATGCTATGTATGAATGAAGGTTGTCTTGCATCTTTTATTATGCTAGGAAATATGAGGACCTCATGCATAACTATATGTTCACGTGCATCAGGATACTTCCTTATTATAATGAGTATGGACACATACACTACAAGACTGATTATGACCGTTATGTTTGCCATGATGATACAACGATCGCTATTCCTCTAGGTGTCTGGCAACAACCCATCTGTGAGTGCTAGCTCAATCAGCAGGCCCCAAGAGGTGTGCCAGTGCGCCTGGTGGGTCAACAGTCGCACGTGTGGGCTGTGTGTAGAGAAGTACTAAACATCCAATTTATCTCAGATTCGAAAGTCGCCTAAGAGAATGACATGATGTTTTAAATAATTGGTCCTACCATGTTGCATGTATTTACTTTTCATGGACCCAATAGTGGGGTCACTTATTGAATATTTCTTGAAACACTCAAGTCATGTTCTACTTTTACATTTCAAGTAGTAAAGATAGGGCACCCACGAATGACGGAGGCAACATTGAAAACCATGGAACCGGTGCTAGGGTAGTTGCATTTCATCTTATTTATTATTCTCAGGTTAGATTAGGTCAATGTATTGTGTTCTAGTTTTGGACATTGTTTATTCTCGTTTCTTATATATTTTTGGATTGATTTGAGTATTTTATTTTTGACGTATAAATCCATGACATTGTTTATGAACTACTAAAGATGAATGTTTCCACATAAAAGGGTCACGTTATACATATGACAGTGGCTCTATTTCAGTAGAAAAATAGAGTCGTTACATCATGTGTTGTTGAACGAGCCATCCAAGATAGGAAATATAGACCCATCTTCCTTCATCCTCATTCCTACCCTATTTCAATCATCATCCCCACGAGATATATATATAAATGATACGAGCGTGTTCCGTCCCTGACACATTTAGCCCAAGATAAAAAATATATTTCCACTCGTTCCTCTATTTTTCACTTAATTGAGGATTTTCTGATATAGGTTAAACAAACGTCTCTACGAGATAACGTGTTATATTTAAGAGATACCGTGTATAAATACGAGGGCAAATATGGAAATAGAGTGTAATTGTTGTGTAGCATGCAACTCTTAGTTTTTGACCATTTTGGAGGGTCCAGCCCTGTGGAATTTTGTGGACAATTTGACAATGGAGGCGATCATGACTTGCACCAATCAAGACTCACTCAAAACCTCCATTTTCTTCTTTCCCCTTTTTTTACTTTTTCCCTGCGACCATTTCTATTAAGATATTTTGACGGGAGTTGTCGAACTTCTAAACGGTCTATTTTTGGGTTCTGCCTTTTCTTCAAAAATTCAATTATTTCTTGAAAGTCTATAAAGCAAACCAATGTGTCTAGATCATCAACAAAAGTCGAGTATCGAACTATGACAAATACTTGTTTAGAGTTGACTTGGTTAAGATAGTTCCACTCTCCGAACCATCATTATTGTATTGTAATAATCAAACAGCATTACGTGTAGCAGTCAATCCAGTTTTTCACGAACTTACGAAACACATTGAAATAGATTGTCATATAGTTCGAGAAAAGTTACACGCTGGGAATCATCAAACTGTGTTATGTTTCAACTAAAATGCAATTAGCATATGTTTTCACGAAAAGTTTGAGAAGACATCAATTTGATATTTTATCTTGTGATTTGATTAATAGTATATTTTATCTCGGGGATTTGATTAGTAATATATTTTTTTCTTATTTTCAAGATTTAGTTAGAAGTATATTTTTTCTTGTTTTTAGGTTTTTAAAAGTTAGTTGATAGCTTGTATTCTATTTAAACTAGGACTGAGACTTCTATTTCTATTTCTGGTTCTTATAGTTCTTGCAGACTTCACCTTCCATTTTTGTTTCCCAATTCCTCTTCCCCTTTCAGCTTTCGATGGGTAACTGCTTTGGTTCTTCTGCCAAAGTTGAAATCGCCCACAGCTCCCGACCCACTTCCGGTAACACTTTACTCCATCTCTTTCTCTATCAATTTTAGTTTCTGTTCTCTTAATTTCTGTGTTTTTGATCTTCCCTGTTCTTATGGTTTCTGGGTTTTCATTCGATTTTTCATTGATTCGATGTTGTGCTTGGTTTAGTTCTTCGGAATTTTTGGTAGATTCTGCTGTTTGTTCCTTGAAGTTTCAAATTCGTTATTCTGTTTCGAAAGAAACAAGGATTTAAAGTCTTGTTTTCGTTTATGGATCAGAAATCTCCCGAAGTTCATGCAAGAAACATAATCCGATTGTTCCTTCCTATTATCCTAACTCAGTGGCGGATAGGAATGATAATAATAATGTGTTGAATCTTCCCACACCAAGAACAGAAGGTGAAATATTGTCATCTTCGAATTTGAAGCCCTTCCATTTCAATGAGCTGAAGAACGCGACCAGAAATTTTCGACCCGACAGCCTGCTAGGTGAAGGGGGATTTGGTTATGTTTTCAAAGGATGGATTGATGAAAACACATTGGGTGCTGCGAGGCCTGGATTGGGAATGGTTGTGGCTGTCAAGAAGCTTAAGGCTGAAGCTTCCCAAGGCCACAAGGAGTGGCTGGTGCGTAGTGTAGTTGATGTTTTGTCATGTGTTCCTTTCATGTTATAATATAAGCTTGTGTCTGCTACTAACTGCTTATAAATTCAGACAGAAGTTGATTATTTGGGCAAATTTCATCATCCAAATCTTGTTAAGCTGATTGGGTATTGCTTGGAAGGCGAAAATCGGCTACTGGTTTACGAGTTTATGCCCAGAGGGAGCTTGGAGAATCATCTCTTCAGAAGTAAGTTTTGTATTCATCTTGATGTTAAAAGTGACTCTGTTTCTTAAACATTCTTCCATGAAATTTGTTTGCTTCCCTCTCTCAAATGCTACAATTAGGTGTGTTTTCTGGTTTGAACTGGATTATGAGTAGGAATCACGAACCTCCACAATGGTATGATCCACTTATAAACCCATGATCAACCCCTTAATTAGTCGACGTGGGACTCCTCTCCCAACAATTCTCAACAATCCTCCCTCGAGCAAAGTATACCATAGGGCTCTTTGAGGCCTATGGAACCCTCGAACAGCCTCTCCTTAATCGAGGAAGAACACCCTTTGTTCGATATTTGAGTCACTTTTAACTACACCTTTGAGCCTCACAACTTCTTTGTTCGATATTTGAGTCACTTTTAACTACACCTTTGAGTCTCACAACTTCTTTGTTCGACATTTGAGGATTCTTTTGACATGACTAAGTTAAGGGCATGACTCGGATACCATTTTAGGAATGACGAAAAGTGCTTTTACATGATTTTGGATTTGATATGGGGCCAAGTTGATTTGCCAAGTTCTGTTGTGCAGGGGGTTCCCAACCTCTTTCTTGGGCATTAAGGATCAAAGTGGCCATAGCTGCAGCCAGAGGGCTTTCCTTTCTTCACGAAGCCAAATCGCCCGTCATATATCGCGATTTCAAGGCATCGAACATCCTACTCGATGCAGTAAGAAAGCCATTTCTGTTCTGCACAAATGATATACAATCTTGTTACAACTGTTGTTCATAATTTTGTGCATCCTTAATGCAGGAGTTTAATGCAAAGCTTTCTGATTTTGGTTTGGCTAAGGCTGGTCCCACTGGAGATAGAACTCATGTTACTACTCAAGTTATGGGAACCCGTGGCTACGCTGCACCCGAATATATCGCTACAGGTTCGTAACGCTTGCCCTATACTCCAGTTCTGCACAATGTTGATGATTTCATCTTTTATTTACATAACATCATATGCTTATCTTATCTCCTAATCTCTGCATCATTCAACTACCCCAATCATGATCTTTGGAAGCTTTTGGTATGATCTAGAATCTGTAGTGACCTAAAATGAAAATTAGTATTCGAGCGTAACCACACCCTTCTAGGTCACTGCCACACATGGTCTAGCTAGGGGTATGCACGGTTGGGTTGGAGAAACTTTTTGGACCAATTCGAAATTTGGGTTGTTTTGGTTGATGGTGATTCAAATGATCTGAATGGAGTTCATGACCCAACTTTCCAATTCCGGGTTGGGTTGGGTTGTGAACCCTATTTCGAGTTGGTTGGGTTGACTAGACCAAAAGAGTTTCATCCCACGAATTGAATTGAATTTTTTTATTTTCTAAAAACTCAACCCAACACAAGGTCAAGTAGTTCGAGTAAATGAATCATACGAACACCTCTAGTTTCAGATCCCAAGTTCCATCCAAATTTATAACGAATTTTTACTTCAAGGTAAATGTAATATTACAACTTTTGAAATAATGTGCAAAGTTAGAGACGTTTAACCTATCAAGAGAAGACTCATTGGTATTTTGTATTCAAGGGGTTTCTATAAACAACGGTTTAATTAGGTCATTTTATTAACATTGTTTGCATTCTCAACAATCCGTTATTCGACTAAACAATAGACTCATCAACTTTTTTTTGTTCGATACTAACAGATTTCAACCCACACAACTAATTAAGTTAGGGATATCACTTCGATACTACTTATAAGAGACAACGATGCTCGTATTTCTATAATGATATTATATTGTCCACTTTGAGCTTAAACCAAACTTTTCAAATCTATGATAATTAAGAGTTTAAATTGCAACGTCATTTACTCCACAGGTCGATTGACATCTAAAAGCGATGTTTACAGTTTTGGAGTTGTGTTGCTTGAATTGTTATCGGGTTTACATGCTGAAGACAATCTTGTAGAGTGGGCAACACCATATTTAGGTGATAAAAGAAGGTTATTTAGAATTATGGACACCAAACTTGAAGGACGATATTCTAAAAACGGAGCTTATGTAGCTGCAAATTTAGCTTCACAATGTCTTAGGAGGGAACCGAGGGCTCGACCTCGAATGACAGAGATTTTGGGTGAATTGGAGGAGCTTGAATCCCCAAAAACTACCGCTAGAATCTCACACTCAGTTCAACGTGAAACTCCTGCTTTGTCAAACTCGAAGGTTGATGCATCTCTTTCGACCTTGTATCAGAAGTCACCACGACGACAATAACATCTAAACAAGTTAAATTAGTTGCATATAAAAACAAAAGATGGTAAACCTATAACTAAAGCGTGACCTTGTATATGTTCTTTAGACAAAGATTATCGATGACTATTGTCTGTGATTTATTGGACATGAATGTAGGTCTTTTCCTATTAGGAACGCCTCGACAAATATTTATTATAAAATTTAACATTTTATAATATATATATTATAAAATATTCCTTTCGAATTTTTTTTTGTATACGTTATTTTAGTTTTTCCATATAATTTCTATTACTATTAAAGGTAAAAACATCATAATAAAATTAATAACTAGAAAATATAAATAAAATTTCTAAAATCTCAAATTTGAATTTTGCAATTATATATATATTTATATATAGATAGATGATTAATAGTGTTAGTTTTACATTATTTTATTCCAAAAAATTACAACAACAAAAAAAACAAAACAAAACAAAAGATTTAAAATTTAAAAAATAAAAAATCTAATTAATTAATATATAATTTAGGGATTTAGTTGGATAATTATTGATGCTTGTTAATTAATAACTGAAAATATGCGGATATAAATTAATTATAAAAATTATCCGTTTGCATTCTTGTCCTTGCACATACTACAAAATTAAATTAAATTAAATTAAATTAAATTGAGAACAACATACCAAATATTGATTTTTAAAAATTATTTAGATTATTTTTTAATTAATTAGAAAAGAAAAAAAAAAGAAAGATAAGAACTGATTTAATTTAGAGATAAACAAAATTCAGAATGAATCATATTTCCAAATTAAGAATGTGCATTTAAATAGGACTTATCCTCTTTCTTGGTTGTAATTAAACCCAAACAATTCATATATAAATTAACAACTGTTCCGTTGATTTGCTCTGTAACCTCTCTGATTCTCTTGGTTTCAAAAATTTGGATTTCAAATGGAGCAATTATCTCTCCCCGATAACTCTTACTTTCTCGGATTCGACAGTTCTACACAGTGAGTAATTTTAATTTTGATTTTGATTTTGATTTCCTCTCATTCGCGGTTGAGTTTGTCGAAATTGGAAATTTTCGCATTTCGATGTTTCAATCGTTAATGTATCTGTAATTTCCCTTTGATCTTGTTCGTTGAACTGGTTTTTTCTGTTAGGTCTTTGAAAGCCACTGTGTTAGACTCCAATCTTAACATTCTTGCCTCAGAATTTGTTCATTTTGATACTGAACTATCTCATTACAAAACTCAAGATGGTGTTTACCGTGATTCTTCCATCAATGGTCGAATCGTTTCCCCCACTTCTATGTGGGTGGAGGCTCTGGATCTCATGCTTCAAAAGCTATCCAAATCGAAACTGGATTTTGGGAAGATTGCTGCTGTCTCTGGCAGTGGACAACAACATGGTAGTGTTTATTGGAAAACTGGAAGTTCTACGATCTTATCTTCATTGGATCATCAGAAGCCATTACTGGAACAGCTAGTTGATGCCTTTTCCATTAAGGAATCACCCATATGGATGGATAGCAGCACCACGGCTCAATGTCGGGCGATCGAGGAAGCTGTTGGGGGAGCTTTAGAATTGTCGAAACTTACTGGCTCACGAGCCCATGAAAGATTTACTGGACCCCAAATCAAGAAGATATATGAAACCCAGCCTGATGTTTATCGAAATACTGAAAGGATTTCCCTTGTTAGTTCTTTTGTGGCGTCTCTTCTTATTGGAGCCTATGCCTCCATTGATGAAACTGATGGTGCTGGAATGAATTTGATGGATATTCGACAACGAGTCTGGTCTAAGAAAGTATTAGAGGTACAATGTGTTGAATTATGATTATGCAATTGATATAACCTGCTAGTCTCTCTTAATCATAAGTTCTTCTTTCTTGATTTTATTCTTAATTGCACCAATACCTTAGGCCACTGCCCCTGGCCTGGAGGAGAAACTTGGGAAGCTAGCCCCTGCCTATGGTGTAGCTGGTTATATTGCTCCATATTTTGTTAAGAGGTTAGTTTTCTTCCCAAGACCTGCAAAAAGAAGAGGATAATAACAGTATTTCTCATTAATACTGATTCTAATGTCTCTAACATTAGAATGTAGTACATATGATGTCACTTGTTCGATATATTTCAACGTAAAATACAGTACAAAAGTTTTTCATAGGATTCTATTAAGATTATGTGAGATTCCACATCGGTTGGAGTGGTGAACTAAGCATTCCTTATGAGAGTGTGGAAATCTTTCACTAGTAGACCGCATTTTAAAAACCTTGTGGAAAAGCTCGAAAGGAAAAGCCCAAAGAGGACAATATCTGCTAGCGGTGGGCTTGGGCTGTTACAAAATGGTATCAGAGCCAGACATTGGGCAGTGTGCCAATGAGGATGCTGGACCCCTAAGGGGCGTGGACTGTGAGATCTCACATCGGTTGGAGAGGGGAATTAAGCATTCCTTATAAGCTTATAAGGGTGCGGAGACCTCTCCCTAATAGACGCACTTTAAAAATTTTGAGGGAAAGCCCGAAAGGAAAAGTCCAAGGAGGACAATGTCTACTAGCGGTGGGCTTGGGCTTGGGCTTGGGCTGTTACATATTACTTCCGACATAAACATAGGAGAGTCATATGAATGTCTGTATCTGTTTGAAGATAAGCACAATGAAACTCTCTGTCCTATTGAATTGATCAAAGTGGAAACTAATCATTTTATCACGCCTTTTTGTGAGCTTTTCTTCTCTGAATAAAAAGTAATTTACATGGCTCTATATGCGTTTAGTTGGCTCCATAAAATCCTAAAATTTAAAAATCAAGAAAAATATTCACCAGTATGACATGAATATGCAATAGGGAATTTCTCTCTATATGATTATGAAGGTTGCATCTCATAATTTCCATATTACTTATGCTATGTATGGGAGTGCCCTCCAAAACCTTCACGTTTCGAGTAACATAAAATTCTTTTGGAAGAAGTCAAATTTTGTGAATTATGCTTGGGAGGCATCTCAAAAACGCTTCCGAGAATGTAGAACCAAATAACAAAGTGATTTTTTTTTTCAGACTTTTAACTTAAGTTGTCATAATTAAAGTATTTTTCTAAAACTACTTGTTTTATTAAAGTAGTTAGTTCACCTGCTGAAGCTCTTACAAATCTTGGTGTAGATACAACTTTA